TTTGTCTTAGGTAAATCACTCCCTTTCTACCTCTCTAGAGGTGTTTGTGTAGAAGCAGCTAAGAGTGATTGACAAGCAGATGTGTAGACAGAGAAATCCTTCTTGGAAGCAGAGAAGAGGAGAGCTACAGTATAATGTTTCATATATATATATATATATATATGCTTCCTTCGTTCTCTCAAGGAGAATATCTACTACTGAGTCATAAGCTTTTGCCGGACAATCTACCTGTTATAGAAAAGTCTTTCACGTGTTTGAGGCAGCGGGGAGGTGGCTTAGGGTGCTGTAGTTGTGGACAAGGCATGAGCTAAGGGTGAAATGCAGGTGAGGGTCAGTAGGTATTTGGGACAGGAGAATTTCTGTGACTAAATGAGCTGGCTCAGATGCAGTAAACCTTAGGCCTTGCAGAAACTTCTTGCAAGACCTTGCCTAAAAACTTGAAGTTTTGTGTATCGGTTGCTTGTGTGATTGTACCAGCTACCTTGGTCTAAAAAAATGTTTGATTCAGATCTCTTCAGCTGTAGAAAAGCATAAAAGAGTAGATTTAGACACTGAGTTTTGAATTCAGTTTTCCATTTTATTTTTTCCACCTTTCCCTTAAGTTTGAGAAGAATTAGTACTTTAGGCTATTTTCGTGAAGAATTGTTTGATCATGCAATCTCTCTGTCTGTCTGCCAGTCCTTCTGGATGACTTGGGGGCCTGCGGGAGCCCTGAAGTGTAGACCTCTCAGAAGTGTGAAGTTTCTGTGGTTTTATGAAACCTAGTAGCTGACTAAAGATGGACCCACGTGGTACCCAGCCCCAGAAGAGAGGGAGCCCCTTGTCGCTGTGCGGAGTAGCTGGATGATGTTAGCAGTCATAATTCCTACATGTGCTGGCATCTGCTTCTCAAAAGAAGGTGAAAATGGTGGGGAGCTGGTGTGTATGGGAACAAGAGTGAAGATTAGGAGGTATGGTATCCGCATCTTGTTTGGCCTCCCGATTTCCCCTGCTCAGGCTGTATCTTGTTTTTCATTCTGTTTCCTTTGCTGCCTTTTTCGTTTGTTTGTTTATATCATCTATCAAGTTTATCATTATGTGCTCATGCACATAAAATCTTTATTAGCCGTGCGTATTCTCTATTCTCTCTTTTAATTTTCCTTCCTTCTTTCTTTGTTAACAAACTCTGCTGATTGCAGATGTTTCCCATTTGACATCACCTGAGACTAAGGTCTTCCAGCCACGCAAACGGATGAGTGCTGGCTCCTTCCTCCGGCTGCCTCGCTGTGCGGGATGGGGCCATCCCCTGCTAGAAGCAGGGAATGAACCTGCCCTCCCAGCCAAACCTGGGGTCACGGTCCTCCTTGAGATCAATAGCCCAGAAGAGAAATAGAAGTTGGGCCGTCGTCTTAGGTGTGGTTATAAACAAGGGTGTTTAGGGTCCACATCCTTGTGCTTCTTCGGTCCCTTTGAAGCAACTGGCTGAAGGAGAGGTGAATCAGGGTCAGTGCTGAGACCGAGAAGGTCCTTTGTGCTCTGTGTCCGGCTTCATCTGTTCGCAAAAGCCCTTGAATGGTGGTTAGATGTTGGCCACGTCTGCTTCGCACCAGCTTGCCTCGACTTGGTCCCTGCCCTGACAGCAATATTGAAGAACATGTTTCCTCACTAGTTCTGAGGGGTAGTGCTCCCACTCCTGTTGTAAGTGAAAATCGGGTAAAAAGAATTTCAGGTGCTTTGCACTGTTTTTCCCAAGTCAAAATGCTTACCGATACCTTCTACAAAAGGACTGGGTTTAATGATAGGTCCATTTGAACAGCACGGGACCATGCCGTTGTTGTGTGGACATGTACCCATGTCGTGGCTGGGCACCATGAACATCCTTTCCTTTTGGACAATGGCTAGAAGAATGTTTCTGCACCAGCATCTCTTGCAATCCTTCCTAACAAATCCTTCCCTAGAGAGTCTTCGAAGATTATTCTGCCGTGGACAGGTGGAGTGAATAAATCATCTTCTGGCTGAAGCCTTTTATGATCCTTTAATCTTAACACTTTTCCTAGTTTAAGGGACACCAGTAAAGCGTTTGCACTGTCCATGCCATAGCATCCAACTTGTGTCCTCTCTCCTTCTTACTTCAGAAACCCTCTGTACTGTTTTTTGGTAGGAATGAGAGTTTCTTTTCAGGCACTGGTGTTAGCTGATGTTTGACCTTCAGTGGCTACAAAAGTCTAAACTCTTCCATGAGAGATAAGTCTTTAAATCTGGATTCTGGGACTTGCAAAGATTGTCGGAGCTGCCTAGCAAATCCTGTGAGACGCTGCTAATCGTGAGCGGTACGTGCAGTGGGACAGGGAGCAAGCGAAGCAGCAGCACACGGGTGGGAATGCCACTGACCACGGGAGAGTAACTGCTGTGGTCTGGAGGAAAAGAAGAGCAAATGAGGTAGGTGGAAGAATCAGGAAACAAAACTTTGGGACATCTTTCACTGCTTCTCTGTTCTTCACTGGTTCCCAGTTTGTCATTTTGCCGCTTGGTCTACATGATACCTATGTAAATAGAGGACTTTTTTGGCCAGTGTCCCGTGGTTATTCCACAAAAAGGGTAGCTCCAGGGAAATTAATAGCAGGGATGCAGAGCACACAGACACCGGTAAAAAGATGCTCAGTCAGTGTGCTTGGGGCAAAGTCCTTTCTGAAGGGGCAGGGGTTTGCAAATCAGAGCTCAGAGAACCTCCCATGGGAGAGAGTACCCAGGCGTTCATAAAAGAAGTGGACAGGAAGGCTGGAGTCACCTGTGGAGGTGAGCGTCTGGGTAAGAGCCACAGTAAGGGGTGCTGGCAAGCGAACAAAATGGTGAGGTAGAGGCAAGACCAAGTACCTTGAACTTGATAGGACGGGAAAGAGGAGGTGGCTGAGAAAAGTCTTGTGGTTCATGCCAAAGCAGCCTTTTCGTTCGCTTGCCTTTTACCGCCGAGGTGTGCTTTCCTTCTTTAATTGTGTGCGGTTTTTCCCTCCTGAAAAGCTGCTTTCAGTGTCAAGCAACATCATGGTTTATTACGGTGTCATTTTCAGGTTACACCAGCAACGCGAAAGCAAAAGATGCGTGTGTCATGTCTCATTTACTCGGTTGCAGAGTCGTTCAGGGGCATCTTCTACTTCTGCTGATCATCTTTAAGCCATAGATTGGGCTGCAGTCCTGGCAATGCATCACGTATTTCTTAGCATTGCAGCCACTGTAGTAGTGAAGACGGGGACAAGTCCTGAAGGATATGGCAGTGAAAGCCTCCACAAATCACAAGATCTAGTTGTACTGCTTCATACAATTAGCGATTAAAATGAGTAAAAACAAAGCAGCAATTTTCTTATTGATCCCTCAGCAAATAGTTCTGTCTATTTTCTTCTGTATTGTTTCTTCTTATTAAATAGCCTTGAATAAGAAATGTCAGTCAAATGAATTTAGATTCCTGGTGCTTCAGACAGAAATCAAAGCAGGATTGAATGAGGAAAGATAATTAGAGAGAGGAATTCCACCTCCACAGACTTCTTCTCTTGCTCAAGGAGTGCTGATTTTATCTAAATTGCCAAAGCCGTGAGCAAATGAGAGGTGATGGGAATTATAGACTGCAGATGCTGAGACAAAGCAAGGGAGGCTTTAATTAGTGCATTTTAGGTAGAAATGAATTTCCTGGGAATAAATTATTTGACTCAAAACATATGGAGCTTCTTAGAGGTGAACTGAAAAGCTTTTTACCTGCCAGATCCAGGGCTCATAGGTTGTATCTGTCTTGTAGAAAGGAGTGACCTGTCACTGGGGTCTGAAACATGAATCCTCCTTTCCTTTGCATCTCACTTTTTTTTTTTTTTTTTGATATGGAGGAATTCCCCTTGCTGCAGATTGCCATCAATGCAACAGAAAGCAGAATTTTTTTCCAATACCCACATGTACTCGTTCAAGTGCTAGTGATGGATCTACCGTTGCCGAGGAGTTGGGAGTTACATATTGAACCTACAGGTGCTGAAAGGAAGTTATTTTCCTTTCAAATTGTCCTGTTATTCTCCTTTCTTAGCTCTGCTGTCTGTTTCATCACACTTGCACACACACAAGGACCCTAGGAACCTTAAAACACTGCCCTTTCTATTTTTCAACAGATTTCCACAGCTTTTCAAAGGGTGAGACAGTGACAACTCTCCACTGTTCGGAGGTGGATAGAGATTCCTGTTTGAACTGATGGAGCTGAAACGAAACCATTTAGCTGGGTGCTTTAATCCGCAACTCCCTGACTTCAGCAGAATTATTCAGGCTCTTAATTATTTACATACTGTGTGTGAGGCAGTTGCTCACAAACCTTGTTGAAAGAGGCAGGAGTGGAGCCAGGACCAGATCTGATGGTTATATTATGGGAGTGCTTACAGACCCCTGATGCAGGTGCTGCACAAACACAGAATAAAATGGGTTTGCCTCTCCCAAGAACAATACGGTTCTCTGCGCTGAAAAGCAGGAGTGAAAGCACATCAAGAGGCTGATGGATGGACGGACCACCCCAGCAGCACCTTTCCGACAGCTTGGGGTTTGCTGTGGCAGTGGTGGTCTACATGAGATATCAGTATGGCCTGGAAAATCACCCTGTCCTCCCTTCTTGGGATGAACCGCCACTCGTGTTCTTCCAAAAATCCTGCTCTGCTGCCGGCCAAATGTCTAAGATAACAACAGATGGGTAGAGCAGAGGTACAGCCTCGTGGCTTCAGCTCGGCCTTTTTGACAAAGGGTCCTAAAGTCTCATGAAAGCTAAAAAACCCTACACCCTCTCTGGGAAAACGAGTATCATGCTTACTGGTTTTTCTAATGTTCTGGTCGCCTATTTCAGATGTTGCTATTTTGTCCTATAGGTTAATTTGTATTACCCATGATGAATGAATGCAGTCAAGAGGTATTGAACGCTGATGTGTTTATCTCATGGCAAGATAGAAATGTTGCAAACTTGTGAGCTACGGGAGGAAATGGGCTAATTTTAGATTTGTTCCTAGCCCTCGCCATGCGAATGGTGTCGCTGCGAGCCCAGCAATGAAGTTCACTGTGTTGTAGCAGACTGCGCAGTTCCCGAGTGTGTCAACCCAGTCTATGAACCAGAACAGTGTTGTCCTGTCTGCAAAAATGGTAAGAAAGTACTGTATTGGCTTTAACAAAGAGATATAAAGGAAACATTTTATTAAAATGTTGTTACTGATGCATCGCCAGGAGGTTTGCTTCTGTTGGCACAGGCTGGCGCGTGGGCTTCAGGTACGAGGTGGCAACTGGGAAAATTAAGGCTGCCCTTCCTGGCCTGTGTCTTCTCATTGAAGCTGATGGGTTGCTGACTTGAGTAAGGCTTTATAGGATTGAGTCATGATATCGGTGATAGTCATTTCATGTCTTTGCTTTTTTCTCATCATTAGTCTAACAGGAAATCAAGTATATAAGAAAAGAGAGGGTCTTTGACCCTAAATTAAGAAACCAATGGTTATTACCTAAGACCAGGAGAAAACTCACCGAAATCAATGGCAAAACTTCCACTGGGGCCAGTAAGACACACACCAAGCCTGTGATGTTATTAGCCGTGTGCTGGAGTCTGTGGGTGTAGCGTTGGCCCTCATTGTCCTGCT